AGTAAGCAATAAGGTACGAGAGGCTGTGCTGTATCATGAATAAGTCACGGCTGAAGGGCGTTGTTGGAAAATCCCAAAATACTCCACAACGCGAAGCGGAGTATTGAAACTCAAAGTTATGGTAAGGGCTGTGCATTTCATCATGCTTGAAACCGCTTACCAATCACAGCACACTGGTCCAGTGACCAATCAGAGCACATTGAGCTTTTCAGAAGGAGGGGCTTCATAGAGACAGGAACTAAACAGAGCGTTACTGACAGACCGGGAAGAGAGGTGCTGCAACAATGTCAAATATGTGAAACATAATGTGTTTTTTGAACATTCAAGCATCAAAACCAATTACCATTTCAAACTACAATTAATTTTTTTCTAACAAAATCTATTTCAAACTTTGGAGAAAAGCCCCTTTAAAACATAACGATTTAAAATGTACTTTAAAATAAACATTCTAATTTAACATTATTATAAAGTGGTCAACGCAACAAGAAACAGTCATGGAAGCGAAATCTCTTTAAGTAAACTTAAATGCCATTTTATTTAAATAATATTATATTATCTGCAAGTAGGCTTACATTATTTGAAAAATATACTTTCAAGATTTGAAGCAGTCTACAAGTATTCAATGCAATTAAGCGCTCCTTTCTCACAAAGGAGTTCAAGGCCACGATTAAAGAACCGTCTGATGAAAGCATATTGATGACATCACACATGTCCCAAATTAAACACAACTGTCAGATGGTGATTCATATGCCAGTACTGGGAACCACATTTGGTTCCCAGTGCTGGCATATGAATCACCATCGGATAGTTGTGTCTGAAAGACGTGTGTAAGTCCACAACAACCAAAATATCTGGTGCTTGTCTCAGGAAACCATTGACTGTCTTTCACATAATAAACTTCCCCCATCTTCACTACTGCCATCAGTTTTTAGAACAAATATGAGGCAAAAGGCAGTTTACGTGAAGAAAAAGTGGTAAAATAATAAAAATGCCTTGAATATGTTCACGTTTCATTTTTCGCCACATCTTCTCCAAAGTGTCCCATAATATGAATAATGACTCTGAATGATTCGTGAACACAGCACGACTTTACGAGCTCTGTGTTTGTTCTGAGCCCATCGATGAAGAATCTATTGAGGTTGAAGGAGTTCGTGCATGTCACATTTGTGGTGCACTAATGTGTTTTCTGTGGCGGAATCGGGCAATCAGCCATTTACAACACAGAGATCCTCTTCTCTTAGACATATCACCCTTTTCTTTCTTTGAAATACACTTTAGATAGTTTAGACATCATTTCTGTTGGCCTCGGCACAGAAGGGTCCATGCTTTGAGTGTTATGACATTGAATGTGTCAGTATTAATGTACGTTAGAAAGCACGTTAAGATTTGGCATTGAACTGTATTTATACAACAGTTAGTTCTGGTCCTTAATTGGTCGAATGGCGTCCCGAGAGTGCTGATATAACAGTCCAAAAGCACTGTTTGTATCACTCTGCATGTCTGTGCTTGTTTCAGACAGACCAGCCAATGTGTAATGGTGGTCGGTATTTTTAAATTCAGCTTCACTCTAAAAAATGCTGGGTTGTTTCAACCCAAATTTGGGTAAAATATGGACAAACCCCTTAATGTTGGGTTAAAAATGTACTTTAAAATTTTAACCCAACTTCAACTTTCACTTTCAACTGTAAATTTTTTAATTACATTTTTAACCCAACATTTGGGTTTGTCCATATTTGACCCAAATTTGGGTTGAAACAACCCAGCATTTTTTAGAGTGTTCATGAAATGAAAATCTATTTTTCAAATGCATATTATTAATCTTACCTCAACGGTTCATCCATGCATGTTTCATTTTGTAACTATTTACTTGACCTCATCATTTTTATAGCTCGATCTTCTACTTTGTGGAGAAAAACAAAATTAGAAGAGCATAATTAGAGCACTTTAATGTATAAATGTGTAATTTTTTGAGCTGTATCACTGACAGGTCCCACCTGTCATGATATATCATGTGTTAACCCAAAACATACAGCTTTTTTAATGTATGTTAGTCAGTGTGCTGGTCCTGAATAATGCCAGAAACCCAATATTGGCAGTCATTTAAGGAGCGTATAAAGTGAAGCAGGTTAGCGGACTTAAAAGCCCCGGAGGCAACTAGAACATTAGCACCACTCAACACTAATTACCTACTCGAACAGGGGCTCATAATCAGCCTTGTCAAAAAATGTGATTAAGCACCATATCCACATGCATACAAATGCCTCTATCCATGACCTCTGATGCTCTGCCTGGGATTTGCCCCGCAATGTTAAAACTATTTAGTAGGGTGTAGCACCCAGTTCAGCCAGCAAACAGAAAAACTCATGATGAACTGTAGTCATAGATATATGCCAGATGTTTGTGAAAAACATACTCTGTATTTGAAGCTAAGCATGATGTTTTACATAAGCACTGGAAAAACAGAGACCTAGGGTGGGGGGAACTAACCAATGAGGATCTCTCATCACTGAAGCCCATTAACAGCATACATCCTGCTGTACAAGCCTTGTAAGTGGACCGGAGGAAGTGTTGATTAATGAGACATTTTTCTCAGTTACTTTCTCTTTGCTTTTACAGTAAGTGAATGTTAGAAGCAGCATTTTGGGATCTAATTACTGACAACATACGCACAACATAGCATTAGACATCTGTAAGTGTGGATTACACACAGGTATTTCAACAGATCCCTCTGCCACCCAGACATTACCAGGGAATTGATCTCTGAGGACTAGATGAGTAACTTCAGACTGATGGAAAAACTGATAATATTTGACAGAGTTGAACTGAAAGCTCACTAGAAGTTGAAAGTTTTGTTGTCACAAAAAGCGAGAAAATTGACAATTCAAATTGAAAAATATCATTACTAAAACAGTTATTTGTCCTTCCGCTCTAGTAAGATGTCCTTGACCGTGTCTCGAACCATATTCATCCGCGCAGAAGAGCCGAAGCACGAATAAAAAAAATAATGTTCTTGTGCCTTGTGGAAACAAGACACATGCAGTTTTATTTTTAGAATAAAAAAATTCAAGATATAGAGAGAAGATTTTAAGTCATAACCTTCTTTGACCGATTTAAACCAGTTTCAGAGGTTAAAATGGCAAAGCATTACTACCTGTTTGTAAATAAGAAAAGAGGTGGCCAAGGAAACTCTTTATTTTAGCTTGATGTCTTTGTGTTTCTGTGTCAAGTATGTTTAAGTTAAAAGAGTAAATGTATCAAGGGAGTGAGAATATCTTTTTAGGTAGTGAAGATAACATTGTGACGTTATAAACAGTCGATTATGTGCCTGTGTGTGGCCAAAATCAAAACGAGAAAGAGATACATTTGGTTTGTCATGTTAAACCATTTCACATTGTGAAAATGTCAAACATGTCAAAGAACTGATATCGTATAGCGTAGTTACATGCTGCATATTGAATATGAGACTAGTTTTCCAAGTTAGGCTATTAAATGGATGAAAATCAGTAGGGCTACAGTAATGTTTATGGACTGTTAAACTGTCTATGAAGTGCATAAGATGGCTCCATATACTGATTATTTTGGTATCCTGACACAAGAGCTTGAACACGTGATATGTCGGCCACTATCCCCGTGGATGAACACCTCACCATACATGGCCCTGAATCACTGCGGTTATCTCAAATTCAGGTTAAAGGTTGAGTCAGACTATGTGTGGGCTTAGTCTGCCCTCTGGTGGATGAGTAGAGAGCGGTTTGAAATATAGCATTTCATTTATATGGTAAAAATAAACATAATATAGAAGCCCCACACAACATTTGCTCATTTGCATGAGCATACCATCAGTAACATCCAACAGAAGCTGACAATTATCATGACATTTCTCCAAACTCAGGTGATGAAGAGATGAAGGGAAAGGAGGAGTGAGTTTAAGAAAAGGAGAGAGGAATGTGGAAAGGAAAGGGATACGGGATGGCAGATAAGTGGAGGGCATTGGTGTAGTGGAAATAATAAGAGAATTTGTAAGAAGACATGAACAGAAGCAGGATGGAAGACGAGTGAAGAGACTCCCCCTTATTAACCATGAAATAAGCATGTTAGAGAGAAGCTAGGACACAGATCCATAGTGTTACTATGGTATTTCACTTGAGTATTGTACTTTATGATTGGCTCTAATTATACACTGAAAAACATTGCCACCAGCAGCCAATCAAATCTGAATGGCCTACCATTTCAAATTGACATATTCAGGTGCTCCAAATTTTGTACAAATTGGCCATACAGTAGCACTATAACAAGCAATTTTACATTTTTGCCAATTTGTCAAGTTACCAGACATGATTAATTAAATGGCTGTCCATTTCGAATTAAGATTTATTTGTCTCTTTTTAGATAATTTATAGTATAACATTTCTAAATGATTTATGTACTTTTTCTAAAATGATGTAGTTGGCTGTGTTAATTGTTTCGAGAAGAAAAACTTGTGAAAATGTAATAACATTCACTTCGCATTTTTTTTATTGCAAAAAGTTCACAAATCAACATTTTAGTTAAGATTCTGAAAATAATTATAGTAATACAAATGTTTGACAAAACATTTGCTTATTTATCTGCAAACATACAAAAAAAAGTCATTTAAACACTCTTTAACAGAAATAATGGTTCAATTGTTAACAACATATAACCAGCAATATTAAATACACTGTACATGTTTTATCTGCATTCATGCCTTTTGAAATCTTAAATATGTATTTTGAGATCCAGAGTCAGTATGAACGCATGTCAAACTTTATACTCCCGCGCTTCGCAGTCTTGCCTGGATTTTCCAAAAGCAAAGCATAGCTTTTGATCAATAAATGAGTTCAATATGGTAATTAATGTTATTTGCTGCACAGTCCATAACCTAGAGACTACACCATAGTGCGTATCATACATTTGGGTGGGGGTGTGTATGTGTGATATCGTTCTGAAGATGGTTTAGTGCATAAAACAAACAATCTCTAGGTGACTAGGCCATTTTCACCGCTTCTCCAGTTTCTTAAACTTGGCCTCTGTGAATAAACACACAAACAGAAGTTATTACACAAGTGAAATACAAAATACTGAAAGCTGCACATCTGAGTGTTCTATTAATCTCACACAATACGCTTGCTACTATAAAATAAGAAGAGCCAGAACATCTATCTTGGTCTAATAGCGCCATCTAATGTCCATTTAATCAGTTAACCATCAACTGTTCAGCAATTAATCCAGTGGTATTTCATTTAATAAGTATAGTCTCTACATTTTACACATAATGAGTATTGCTTTAACAGTCTATAGATCGGCATATCCTCCTGAGAGCCAGAAAAAAAAGCTTTTTGAATTTAGGTTTTTTTTCCATGTCATCACACTGTTTAGAGCACAATAAACAAATAGTTAAAAAAACACATATATAAAATAATATTTTATTCATACGTTATGCTATGTCCTCTGTAGTGGACACCAGGACTAAGTTGTTTAAAAAATAAAATTACATGCAATTATATGTATAGGCAAAAACAATGGGATTTGTTTTTCAATCACCAATAAATTTAGGGGTTTCAGGATTTTTTCAACCAAAATTTGTATAAAGATTATTTTCAACTATGTTATGAAAGAAATAATGGAATGAATTGATACACCATTTTACTTTTTGCAATATGTGGGTAAAATGGCCATAAATTAATATTCCCATTCAATGCAATGTATTTATACACTGTATCTAATTTGCACATTAATGTGTTCTTGGAGCAACATTTAATGAAAAAGAAGTGTAATAATTGGAGTAATAATTGGCAACATTTTAATAATTATATCTAATATTTCATAGGAATATTGATGTATAATTTATTTCCATATTCACTTGTTGTGTCTCCCAGAATGCCTGATAAACATGATTTTAGTCCTGATGTCCTCTACAGTGGACACGTTTGAAATCAATGCCCTGTTCTGTAACAGAAAGTTTTTTTTTTTTTTTTGAAACCCCTTAACATTTTCCTGAGATGTTTTATGAAATACAATTTGAAAAAGTAGTCCAATTTAAATTATAATTACAATATATTATCATATTTCCATAAGAATGCAACATTTGATCACTAAATTAATGTCAGACATTTTTAAAGACCAAGGAGAAGTTGTTTTCATGGTGAAACCTCCAAACATTTGGTATCTCTGAAAACTCCTGAATGTGCTCTTTACAGGACACCCAGGTTGTGTCATGTGACATGTATGATGTCAGAGAAATTCACTAAAATAGAATGTCCACTACAGTGGACAAAAGTCTATTCTTGGGTCTATTCCAGGAGGATATAGAAAGAAACTAATTATTTCATAAAACTAGCAGACTAAAAACTATGAACATCATAAGCTGGAACAAGCAGTTGTTTTAGTTGTTGAATAAAGTATCATAAATTACTGTCGTGCCTTTCTACGTTTGAATTTATCAATCGGAATTAGCTTCCAAATTCATAAAGGTTGTGTTCATTTGTGAAGATTATCATGATAAACAAAATGTTTAAGAATGCTTATTGGCCACAGAGCTAATTTTCTGCAAAAGCCAATGGGATAACTTTTTGGGGTTTTATCAGGGGAACCAGGGTGATGCTAAAAATATGTCATAACTGCAGCGCTCTATGTCTTCATGAAAATCAACTGGCGTTCTGTTTTCTCTACGTCGGGTTAAGGTTAATCATTTATACTAAATAAGTCACAGTCCAGACGAGTCTAATAGTGTCCTTCATAATTTTTAATAAATTAAACGTGTCTATATAAAAATCAAATAATAAAACATAACGCAGTGTTCTTGATGTTTGTACTCACCCAGTTTCTTTGAATATGTGTCTAGTTTATATGCAGCCTGCTCCAGAGCCGTAACCTGCTCCTCGATCTGGTTAATCTGATCCAGATAAGACTGCAAACCGCCATCTAAAGCCAAAAGTGACAACATACTTTAAGATGATTGATATATATGGCTTGCATATTCTCTGTCAGCAAATCACAAAATAAACACTTGCATTGTAACAATGATGTTAATGAAACACTCTGTGTACTTTACCTCTTAAGAACATTGTGATAGGACAGTGTGGTTGCAAAATACATTAACATGAATAAACACATGTTGGTTGATTTTATATATATATCGGAACCACATTTCTTACACTTCTGATTGAGATCTTGCAGATTGCGGCTGATGTTGATGGATATGTCCTTCATCTCCATGTACTTCAGACTGGTGAGTTTGTTCATGTTTTCGAGGAGTTTATAGTCCTCACAGGTGGCTGAGTAAACAGGACAAAACATGTTTTACACACACAGATCCAGAAGTCTAACAGATTCATCATCATCATCATTATTATCTTCCCATTACCAGTGAGCTCTCCCTGTAGGAAAACTGCCATTTTGTCAAACATGTCTCTGCAGAGCTCATTGATATCCGGCTCGGCGGGTTCAGTGGCCTCCTCTGCGGTCTCCACACCTCCCTCATCTGTGACAGACAGCAAACTCTTTCAGTGTCCCAAAACATAGAGAGCACTTCTGGGCATTAAATGCAGATTCTAAATGCCTAAGATGGTTCAAATTGCAGGCTGGGTAGGAAACTTATTAGATTTAGAGACACGGATACAGTCTAGTTAGTTACTGTATACAAAACAAATTCTTCTCAATAGGAAGAGAAGTAGTAAAATATCCAAAAACAGGAAGAGAAACAGGTTGCATTTAGCTTAAAAATAAGTGTCAAGAACACAACATGCTCAATAGCAGCACTGGAAAGCTAAGAATCTCTACATGTAAGATTGCAGATTTTACAAAGCTTGATTTATTTACAAAAGCAGCTCACTATTATTACTGGGTCTTTTAGCTTTTGGGGTCTCTGTCGCATCGCTTGTGGCTGCATCTCTCCTGGGTTCGGACTCGGGTTCGGGTTCGGGTTCGGGTTCGTGTTCGGCTGAGAGGTTGAGGTCGGTCGGGGGAGCTGGTGCTTTACAGATGCTGTCCATCGCTGCGGCCTCCTCCCCCGTAGCTGCCATTTTCACATTATCACATGACCATAACCAGTTTCACGTGACTTCTCGTTTCCGTCTTTTTTTTCTTATGCAGTGAAACTAATACTTTAAAAAAATATATGGCAAAACGAAACGGACAGAAGCCGATGTATGTATGAAGTGTGACGAGTATTTGTGATTTTTTTTTTTGAAGTGCTCAGATTATCAGTTGCTCATATTTCTCTTTTTAATATTTAATATTCTTTTTGGCGTGCAAGTCAGATACAATTTCTAAATTCGAATGTGAAATCCAAATGTGGGTGACTGAGGGTTATAATTAATAAAGAATAGGACAGAAAGCACATGTTTTATATACAGATATGGGTGGGGCTGCCAATTTAAAAAGAGTGAAGTAAAGAACAATGAGCTGCTACTATATGTATTTCCGGTCGTATGCATTTCAAAATAATGATCAATTCAAGATTTGAACTCGGAATTCATGCCCTCATGTCTAATATATTCGAGTATTCATATTATATAAGCATACTGTACTCGTTTTTACACACGTATTAGGATCAGGGATTTCATTTCGTTTTAATTTATTTGTATTTATATTATTCAGAGTCACTTGCTTAAGTTCCTACTTATTTTTGTTATAGCATTAAGCCTACATTTGGTCAATGACATTATTTCATTTTAAAATAATTGGATAAATTCAAGACATTTCACTTTATTCTATAACACCTATTTAGTTTGAATTAATGTTGTTAGTACATTTAAATAAAACATTTTGTTTTATGTTGTGTTATCTTTAACCCCCAAAATCTTTCGTGGTGCATCTGTCCGGACAAATAAACAGACTAATAAGTATTGAAATGTTTGGTACACTGTCAGATGGTACAACTACAGTATATACAACTTGTACTGCCTGACATAAAACAGTCAACAAATGAATTAAAACACTTTTTGAAATGTTATTTACAACTGTAACTTGTTCTAAACACAATGTTCATGTCTCAAACATTTTACATCAGTTTTGAAAAGATTTTTTTAAAACACATTTTTTAACATTAGTTAAAATTAATAAATTTAACACGTTAGTGTTAATTAATACAAATAATTATTTGTATTATTCTGAATGCGTGTTTCTATAAGACCTTTATTTTGAAAAGTGTCCCAGCCTACACCCACCCAGCTAGTCACTGGAGTCTCCAGCTTCACAGGCCTGGCTCCGGCCCGCTCTCAGCCCCGCTGCCCTCTGCCTGTGACGGGAATCCATCGTGACAGGATACCAGCAGCACCAGCGACTGTAAACATGGCGGCGTGCACAGCCGGATGCCTGTGCTATGCGAAGCCCCCTTACTGAAGCCCCGATCATCGACACACTTCCATGATGGAGACAGAGGAGGAGCAGCATATGACCACGCTGTTATGCATGGGTTTCCCAGACCCGGTAGCCATCCGGAAAGCCCTGCGCCTGGCCAAAAACGACATCAACGAGGCTGTCGCTCTGCTCACCAACGAAAGCCCGGGACTCGGATACGGCTACGAGCCGATGGAGAGCGGCACTTCCCCGGGCTCCGGCCTCAGCGGAGACGGCGAGAACAGCGGGCGCACGGGCACCGGAGGGTTTGATCCTCCGCCGGCGTATCACGATGTAGTGGAAAGTGAGGTATGATTATGAAACGCATGCATTTGTGATAATTAGCACGGCTGCTTGAGGCGGAACCACCAGGGCTGTCAAAAACCGGAGGGAAAGGCGCACGCACGCTTTTAACGCCCATGTGTATGCATTACCTGTTGTGCTATGCATGCAACACCTGACGAGGATGTCGAGATATTTTCTCTTAACCTTAGGATCCTTGTGCATGCAGTAGCAGATTACGAATGATTTGTGCTGCCATGTGAATGAAGTTGTAGGATCTTGGGGGATGGGTGTCGTAGATTGCCTTTAAATGCACGACCTGTTAGAGTGTTTCTTTTTGTGTTGAACGTAAAACATTAGGCCAATGGAGTATTTTCCCCTCCTGATTAATAATTAAACTAGTGTCATTCTTTACTTACAGTTGAGCAATAACAGGAAATGTGTGGCTGATGATTTACATGTCAGATCGCTGAACCATCAAATGTCATTAGACTCCAGCTTGTCATCTGTTATATTAACAGATGCAGGCGATATTTACCAGTGTCTGGGTTTCATTTTAGAGGCTAATAAGAAGCTGTGTATGAAATATGAAATGACTTCTGTGTGCTCGAATGGTTATTATAAACGGCTCTAGTTTTGTGTAATTCTGTGATAAAACACGACTGATTTTTGAGTCTGGCATGTAGCCGTCCGGCTGTGTTTATTGCCCAACTGTTTCAGTGTTTCTTTCGCTGTTTACCTCATGGCTTCTTTGACCTGTTGGTCAACCAACACTGAAGTGCAATGATTTAAAATGTCAGGCCTGATTTGTGTGCACAAATATTACTTCAACTATTGTTATTATTAGTGTCAAGAAAGCTTGTAAAAATTGTAGCTTGTAAAAGTAGTTAAACTACAGTGAAATATGTTAATAGTAGTTAGTTAAAGCTAGCTACAAGCTAGCTAGCTACTAAAGTAAAAGGGATAGTTCTCCCAACAATGGAAATTCTGTCATCACTTACTTACCTTGTAGTTCCAAACCCGTCTGACTCATTCATCTTTGGTTACAAATGAAGATATTTTAATGAAATCTGAGAGATTTCTGTCCCTCAATACATAGACAGCTACGCAACTAACACTTTCAAGGCCTAGAAAGGTAGTAAAAACATCATAAAAGTAAACCATGTGACTCAGTGGTTTAACCTTGATTATATGAAGCAACGCTAGTGCTTTATGTGCGCAAAAAATATATAATGTATTCCTTTATTTTATAAAATATTAACCTGCAATGCGTGTTCATGAGAGCACCACAACACATTGACATGAGAGCAGACATTGTTGTGTCGATATGCGTTGGAGATTAATATTTTGTAAATAAAGTAATACTTTTTTTTTTTTTTGCGCAAACAAAGCACTCTCGACGCTTCATTATAATTGAGGTTAAACCACTGGAGTCACTCGAGATTACTTTAATGTCTTTACTACCTTTCTGGGGCTTGAAATTGGTAGGTGCGTAGGCTGTCAATGGAGGAACAGAAAGCTCTCAGATTTATATAGATCTATACATAAATAGATTCCTTTTGCAATAATGTTTAGGAAATCGAAAATTAATGTGATTCGGCTGGGCGATATGGACCAAAATGTCATATCTCTATTTTTAGGCTGAAAGACGATAAACAATATATATATCTGCATTTTCTAGGAAGTGAGCTAAATGTTTTCTTTTCTTTTCATAAGGCACGCCACGGGTAAATTAAGATTTAACACTCTTTGTGTTGCAGTTTGTGATACTGTTGCAAATTATGGAGGATATTTGAAGTGCTTCCTCTTTCAGATGTGGCCTGTTTATGGCATAATATGTTTATTATTTCTTCAATTAATCAAAGAAGTCACGATTTGTTTTCTTTTACAAAAAAAAATAAAAATACCATCCCAAATCCTGGCCAATGTTATCCTCCAAACAGTGTGCCAATTGAAGGCTATGATAACGCATATAGTGAATGTATCTATCTAGGTTATGGTATACATTATGAGAAAAAAATATACACAAACATTACATTCTAAAACAAACAAAAAAATATTGCTTTTTAAATTAGAAGTTAAAATCACTAAATTGAAGTTAAATCACTAGGATATTTTCTTTCTTTTAAAAAAAAAGCACATACTAAATAGTAATTATATTACATGTATACCCCATTAGTCCCTTTACAGACAGTGCTCTCATAAAAAATACAATTTCTTACATGTAGATATTTAAGCCCATTAAGGTCCAATAACAGATATTTTAGAAAAATGTATATTTTAGTCAAAATTTCAAGCTAAATAGAATAGCTTCAGAATTGTTAGTCAATTTGAAACGGAAATTGCATTGGTCTTTTCATCCCAATTGTGGCATATATCCGAGTGAAATGGCTTTTTAAATGAGGTAAAAAATAGGACTGGACTTAATTTCGTCTATTGAGAATTCATTAGATTGTTGTTGTTTGCTAATTGCTGTAATCTCATGTGAGTGACATGTTGCTGGAGGGAGAGATTGCATGTGTAAATCATTTATAATAAACAAACACTGTATTTAAAAAAACAGTAAGAATTGTAAAATTTGTTTTCATTGTGATTTTAAAATATCAATTTGTTCAAAATGATCTGTAACATTATGGGAAGGTTTAAGCATAACTACTTTTAATAGTTATTCTAGGGCTGGGCGATATGGCAAAAAAAAAAAATATATATATACTATACAATATCAATATTTATCACGATATTCATACCTTTAATGGGGAAGGAAATGCTTTCCACATTTGTTAGACTTTGAGAATGAATATAAACATGTAAACTTGTTTGTTCAATATTAAACTCCACAGAGTAGTTTACATTAAAGGTGCTATATGGAACTTTTCTTCTAAAATGAGAATTACATTTTTTTATTGCCTGTGTGTGAAGGGGTTGTAATCACACATTACAATGATCCACTTGTCGGGTTTTGCTATTACCTCTGAAGGCCAGTATTCCTATTTCTATGTGAAGTCTCCGGGTCGGATTTTCTGCGAAATCCATCGGATGTGTGACGTGCATATGCGTGCTCCCGAGCCTCTCTCCTTTTTATATACAGTCTATGCGACGGCACTGCAGCTGACGACATGGAGTCTGATAACACCAAACAACGACCTGCCTCCAGCACAACACAGACAACAACACAAACTCCACATAAATATAAAAAACAAAACAAAAATGTATCTGTTGAAGCTCGTCAGGCCAAACGTGAATCGGATCGACTTAGGACGAAAACACGGATCAACATCGGCAGAGCGTTTGAATTATGGAGAGACCTCCGCTATTTTTATTGTGATAAATTACAAGTTTTCAGATATGCTGAAATAAATAATGGTAAACTGCAATGAAATAGCAAGGTAAACTACAACATACACGAGATATGAAATGAATACAAAAGACTGTTCCAGGATAACAAAAAGTAG